TCACCACACCATGCAAACTGAGGCACACATTCTGAGAGATGAACTGCAAATGGCTTTCAGGTCTTGTTTTTTCAGGAACAAAGAGAACTACATCTTTAAAAGGTGGTCGCTGTAAGGCAGCCTCTCAGATAGCCCCTATCGGCCCTACCTCTTGTGGAATTCCCTCCTTTTAAATATAAACTGGATCAAGGTTGATCAAATGCGCTGGGTTGCCCAAGACAGAGAGTGTCCCCAAGACAGACAGAGCGTTCCCAAGTCACAGGACTACTGTGCTAACGGCAGGCATGGGTTTCTCACCTTAGCTGGACTTAGTGACTCCCTTCCAAGCAACGGTGTTACGGTCTATATCTAGATGCCCCCCAAGGGCCTTGTGCACTTGTAGGTGGCTTTTGGAAGGTGCCTAGATTACAGGGGTTTACAGCTGGCTGGCTGTGAGGAGGCGGGGTCTATCCTCAAAGGGTTTATCTCCATCCCCGGTTCCTCTGCTCATTCTCTGTGTCTGGGCTGCCACGACATGAGAAGCTTCTCCTCCACTGCACCGCTCTGCTGTGGACCCAGCCAACCACGGACTGTAAACATGAACCAAAATTAACCACACTTCCTTAGTTTGTTGGTGTCAGGTGTTGTGTCTCAGCGACAAGAAAGTGACTAATACAAATGGCATACACGAGAAGAGATGCACTGCAATTTCCAAGGTGGTTAAAAAAAGGATGGAGATATCTATGTGGTCCTCTCACCCCATGTTCCCTTGCTCTGGCAGAAGCTGGCTGCCGTAGAGTAACAGCAATTTGTGAGACAGGAGTTGGAGTCTAGTAGGCAATAAAGACAGTGAGCCCAAAATGGAGTCTGCTGTCTCACGACTCTCCAGGAATCTGAGAACCATCTGACAGGTACCCTTCAGCTGTCTGGAAGTTCCCAGAACATGATGAGGTGGGCCAGTAGCTCAAGGGTGCATGGACCCCGCATGGGCACAGTGTGAACACTGCACAGATTGGACCCTAAAAAGCATGTAGTCTCCTCTGTGGGTAGTGATCACATCACTTACACAATAGCCTAAGCTCCCTTCTAAACCCCTTAAAAACCCCTAGACAAGCCAGGCGTGGTGGCGCACACCTGTAATCCCAGCACTCAGGAGGCTGAGGCAGGAGGATCGCTGTGAGTTCGAGACCAGCCTGGGCTACATGGTGAGTTCCAGGTCAGTCTCAACTACATAGGGAGACCCTGTCTCAAAAAACAAAAACAACAACAACAACAACAAAAAACCCTAGACAAGAGCCCTCTTGGGCATCCTGCTCACAACCCTTTCCAGACTAGTAAGAGCTTTACTTCCTTCCCTTCATATCTTTGAAATAAATCTGCTTGCACCCTACCTCCTCTGCCCACAGCTTCATTCTTCATCACCACGGAACACGACCTCGGTGTTCTGGCAACCGTGGCACGAGGCAGCGCCACGGAGAGGCACATGTGAGTGAGCTGGGAAGCGGGTTTGAAGCTGACTAGGCCCTAGGAATGGGCCTGGACGCACTTCCCCAGTCAGGCCTTCAGATGGCTGCAGCCCTGGGAGAGTCTCTGACCAGAAACCACCTGCAAAGACCACTCCCAGATTCCTGACCCACAGATGCTGTGCATAATAAATGCTTTTGGTTTTTGCCTCTGTGTTTTGGAGTTATCTGTTACACAGCATGGATAACTGGTACCATTGTGAAAGATCAGATGTTCAGCCCAAGTATGAACTATTTTTGAACCTGAAATACAGTTTAAAATGAGCTTTACCACATTAACTGTAACTACCTCCTACTCACATAGCTATAAGTACTAGAAGCACAACACCCTGTTGTCCCATCACTGCCTCATTGCAAATATTCAGATCATGTCCTTCCCCTCATGTAAGTAAAACATTGGCAAGCGGTCTCTTCATTTTCTGCTTTGTCTCCAAATCTAATGTAAAACCAGCACTGATGATTATTACGGCCAGTGAATCAGTTGATGCTAACTTCACAAAACTGTACAATAAGGATCATGGGATTAGAGACAGCCCAGTGAGATTTCTCTGATTATAAATTTATTTAACAGAGGTAAATCGAGAATGGTGAAACATTCCTATAATCATAGCACTCTGAGAGGAAGAAGCAAGAGGATGGTGATATTAAGCCTGAGCAATCTAGTGACTTAGTGAGATCCTGTCTAAAAATAAAAAAGGGGAGAGGCTAGGGATATAGGTCAGAGAGAAGGACCTATGCTCAAAGCCCGTACTGGGAAAAGAAGGAAGGAAGAGAGAGAGATTGAGGTTTAATAAAGATACAAATTATGTGCTCAACTAGAGAGGAAATCTTCACTTTTCCCTCCCCTGGGGGGGGCAGCTAACAAAGAGCCCACAGAGGTCTTCATAATGGAAATCTTTGATACAGAGTAGAAAATTTTACTGAATTCATCATTCTTGTATCCACTGCTCATCCTCAACAATCATCAAACTTAGGGAGAATTTTATTTATTTTTATTTATTTATTTATTTTTAAATTTTGGTAGTTTTATTGGAAATCATTTGGATTGAAATGTTTTAGGGACAATTTTAATTCATCCTCCCCTATTGCACACCCCATAACCTTAACCCCTATTCTGTCCCTTTGGTTTATTTTGACACAAAATTCAGAGACTTATATAATTTCATCTGCAGAACCCAAGCTGTAATACTTAGCTCTAAATTATAGCTATTTTTAGCTTAACAATAGCATTCTTACATCTAAAATATTAAAAATAATAATTCCCTACTGTCATTAAATAGCCAGTGTTATTTCTCTAATTATTTTATATTTTATTTGTTTGTTTATTTTACAGTTAACTACACAAATCAGGATCCAAACAAGGCCTGGTGTAAACATTTCTTTAATATGCTTTCATTTATGACTCCTCTCTCCATCTGTCTCCACTTCTGCTCTCTACGCCCTGCATGCACTAGGGTTACGTTTTGAGTCATTTTCCAAGCCTTGTGAACACACTGTTTTCTGATTTCCACCAGTGACTCATCTCTCCTACTAAACAAACAACACATTGGACACCTGCCTTTATATGACTTTAGGAGGCAGCCTTGAACTTAGATCCCTTTACAGCATTAACGCTTATCAACAGAAGAGAATCAGAAGCTACCTTGTGCTGGAGGAGAGGGGAGTCAATTTCACACAACAGTATAACACTTTTTAAAAACGACTACTGGGGGAGTTTAAAGAAAGCCAGTAAGTATTTTGCTCTGCTGATGCTGCCTTTGCCGTAGCTTTTAAAGAACAAGTACGGAATGAGAACATGTTCCAACACCCATGCACCTCATTTACGTCCTGATGGTGGTGGCGTTTCTCCCTAGACCTCAAGATTACTTTCAGATCCTTCCCTGTAAAGTGAGGTAAAGCTAATAGCTTCACAGGAAAAATCTCACTGAGACCTCTTGGCAAGTTTTTCCCAAGCTAAGCCTCACTCATGAGGAGTTGGTGTGAAAACTCAAGAAGGAAGAGATACCTGTGAATTTATTTGAGTCTCCGGGATGCTCTGACAGGAGCGCTGAGAAACCTCCTCCGAGGCCTGGCTGGCTTGCACAGGACCTGGAAGGATGCTCTTTCTCAGGGTCTATTTGCTCCTCAGCCCCGGTCCCCCTGGACTTGCACCTCACCTCTACTCCTAACACCTGAACAGTCAAGTTCTGCACTGTGGAGGTGTGAGCCTCATTACTGATTTCCCTGCGGTGCATGCTTGGGATCTGTCCATTGCTTGAACAGGCAAGAGTTCAAAGCGGGCTTGATGTCACCTTTCAATGACTTGAGTCAATTAACAAGGGATTCCAAGCTGGCCTGGAAGGCCTGGCTGCTAGGAAGTCTCTGGAGCAACAGCTGGAATAAAACTAATAAAAACAACTACAGAGCAATCTGCGGAAATATCAAACACAACACAAACACACTGACTCTGGTCAACCTCCACATGAACTTGGGGAGGGCAGGCCCAGGCTGCCTTCAGGATGGCAGAGATGGGTGGCAACTGCCTTCTTGCCAGTGTTCTGGTCTTCCCCAGGCTTCATCATGTCCTGCTCCATTGTCCACCATCCTCTCCCATGGGCCCACTGACCTTGGCCAGACCTCTGGGTCCTGCACTCTTCTGCCTACACCGACCCTATCTTACCCACCCACACCTTCTTCCTTGAGTGAAAGTGATGCAGGTATTGGGGGGCGGCTGGAGACAGTGAGTCTAATCACTTATTTAAAAATAGGAGCTTCCAGAAAATGGATTACCAAACAGCTTTTCAGCCTCTAATGACCCTCAGAACCTAAGGGAGTCAATGTGAAGATTCCAGGCACAACAATTCAGCCATTTCTCATCCCTGCCCGCCCCTTCAGTGGTTCAAGGGCACTTGCCACTGTTGACACAAACGCGTAAGCTTCTCCTTAAGATTTAGATGAACTTTGTGTAAGCTCACAGCTGAATAAGCTGCAGAAAGTCACAGAGGTGATTAACGGGTAAGTGGCCACCATTTAGCTTATATAGACACAGAGCATGGGACAGCCCAGGTCACGACTTCATTACTACTGTATATGTTGAATCAAATAGCTGCTTCTGGACCCCTAAACTCCACTGGACTAGCAAGGCGGGGGAAATAAATTAGAAAGGGTTAACTAAAGGAAAATGTGCTTTTAGTTTCTATTCACTTGCAAAAAATGATTTTTTTAAAAGCACTTTCATCAGGGTAGTGGTACCACTGGGTAGGGTGGGGACAGAACAAGGAGCAAGGGACAGGAGGATCATAACCCAAAAGGGGATACCTAAAGGGGCTTCCAGGGGTACTTGCAGCATTACCCACTTCTTTCTCCCACCCCTACCCCACTCCGTGCTGAGGCCTCACATGTCCTAGGCAAGTGCTCTGCCACTGAGCCACACCCCCAGCTAATGTTCCCCTTTTCTGGACTGGCATAAAGGTTACACACATGCTGGCTGTATGCTCAATCAGTAAAACGTACACTTACATTTTGTACATTTTTCACTCTGTGGGTAGTGCTTTTCTCTTCTCAAGGCTAATAGACAGCTCCTAAATAATACACAAGAATCAAAAGTTTTGCACAAGTTTATTTTTAAGTATTTCTATGGGGTCCTATAAAAAGTCGCTGTACTTAAAGTATTCACCTGCTTCAAGAAATCTCGTATGACTTAAAAGCAAACAGTTGGATCCCATCCCAGCCCCACTGAAGCCAGCTAGGGAGGGAGGAGAGGCAAAGGCAGAAGAAGTATTCCCAGAACTTCCCGAGCCAGACAAACAAGAGTGATGTTACTTCCTCTCACATCCCATCCCCAGCCACCAGATCCACTCTATGGTGACCAACACAAAGCACAATCGGCGCTCGGCCGTGGCCTTTCTTCCTTCATCCCCTGATATGTGCCCACATTCTATTCTTGCCCTCTGTTCGCCTGTCCTGCACACTGCTCCCAGGACAAATTTGTACAGCACAAATGTGACTGTTTAATGAAGCGTCCCCCCAAGCCCACTATTAAAATAGGCCCACTCCCTAGCGAAGTCTGGACATGACCTCTCCCCGAGAGCATCTATGTGTCATGCAGAACTCCGGCCTGCTCTGCGCTTCCCCGGCTCACCATGCCCTTTCACACCCTCTTGCCTCAGCTAATTTTGTCTCCCTGCCTGGAAGGCCCATCCACTCCCTTCTCCTGGCACAATGCTGCTCAAATGTCAAGCTAAGCGCACATTTTCCTTTCCTTAGCTCCTTCATTCCTGATGCTGTCTCTGGTAAAATGAGTGTTTTTATGCAGAATTTACCTGCAAGATGATTAATTCAAAAGAAAAGGACCGTGACTTTTTCTCTTTGAGTTCCTAAGTTCTGTGTATTTTCTGATGCAGAGTGGGTCTTCATAATTATTTCCCCCCCTTGAATTTCAGTCTAACAAAAAATCCTCAGTAAAACCTACTGTGATGGGCTCTTCTACCTAAATTACTCCTTCTTGGTTCCCTTCCAATTATGGCAAGCCCTTGGTCATGTCTGCCTACGGAGATAATGCCACAGATCATCTTCCTTGCTGAGCTTCCTCTCATTGGCCAGGCTTGGGCCTGAGCAGCGGCTCTGGTGCCAGGAACTATAACCATTACACACTTCTCCTGCCAACAGCGGACACGACCCGGGAGCAAGGTGAGCACAGTAACTGGAAAACATTCGGTCTTCGCCAGTTGCTGGAGACTTCTTTGGTCACCTTCTGAAATGGCAGGCGGCAGATAGAATTACCTCAACCCAAGGCAGAGATGTCTGGTAGATACTTAACTCCCTCCAAACTAAACCAAACCAAATTATCTTTTTTCCAAAGCCTTTTACAGTTCAGACATCCATCCCCTTTCCTTGGAACTTGATTTTTTGGAGGTTGCTTTTCCAGGCCAACATGGCAAAGAATGATTTAAGTTCTCGGGGCCACTGCAATGACTCCATGGCTGGTCTCAGGACTCAGGATGGTAACTGAAATTCAATTTGCTGAAACAAACACGGGGCCCCACTCAGCACCACAAAAATTAAGACAGTGAACAGCCTTTTAGATTATAGCATGTTCACATCGAGAGGGATATTTTGTAAATGTCAAAGGGGCATAGAAGCAACTTAGACACGAACAAGTCCACACTCTCATTTTGCAAGTGAAGAAACTGAGGCCCAGGTAGGTGGAATAGTTGGCCTAAGGTAACGTAGCTTGTTGACAATGAGCCTCCCTCCATTCGGGGTTCACCCTAACCTCCATACTCAAGCTCTAGCACTTCCTGGCCAAAACAAGGACTGGGGCTTCCCTAGATCTCTACCCAGCCCATCTCTGATTGGTTCAGTCTCTTCAAAGGGGGTTCTAATCCTGACTGCGTGGTCTATTGATTCAATTTAAACTGCACATCTGATTCTCCGACAGGTGCAAAGGACTCTCCTGTCCTGTTCACTTGGGATTATTCCCCTTAATCCATGCTTTCTAACCCTGCTCTGGACCACCCAAAGTGACCTTCAAAGTACAGATTCCTGTTCTTCATTTTGGTATTTTCCATTTCAGTAGGTGAAGGATGGAAATCCAGATCTTCTTTTTTTTTTTTTTAAGTCCACTAATTCTCCTGAGGCAAGCTTTCATGTCTACTCAGCCAGTTGTCCTTTTCTGATCTATTCTAACCTAGAGAATCTGTGCTTTTGTGTAATATGGAGTTCCCCACCTCTGATTCACTGATTGATCATCACCTAATTTAAAAGAAAAAACAAGATATGATCAGAAGTTTGGGCCTGTTGTCCAGAGTTAAAGCAAGAAAGCAGGCACCCAGAGAGAATGTGAATGTCACACAAGGTCACCAACACCGCCAGGAGCAGTGGAGCCCAGAAGTTCTCACTCAGAGACCACAATGTGATGCTGTCCTATAGAATAAGCAGCAAAAAGGAGACCTGTGACCCTGAATGACTCAGCCATCGCCTGCAAGGTGAAAGTCGATTACTGTCTATGCTCCGCCTCTCCATCGGTGACATGACAGAGGTAACACTTGCCTCCATCTCAGGCAACCGAGACACTCGCAAAACACTGAGAGGATAAAAGCGTGATGGGAGGACAGAACTGCCTGTCTAAAATAACTCAGACATGATCTTTCCCCTTCAGTGTAAAATTTCCATTTAGATCCAGCATGGTCACATGAAATATGAGAGCTCTGACATCTTAAACCCCTGTTCATATAACTTGGGCTGGATGGATGGCCTCCCTCGGTGTGGCTATTTCACTTTATAATTTATTGAAATCAGCCTAACACCAAGAAGCAACTTTCTCAGGTCTCTAGATGCTCATCTCTGGCAAGTTCCAAAAGACCATTACAGACTTTGCAGTAAGGAAGGGGCCTCCCTGAGAAAAGTCACAAACTTTTTCAGCTAAAAACACTGCACTCCAGGGGCCAGGGATGTAGCTCAGTGGCACAGCACCTACATGGCAAGTGCAAGGTCCTGAGTTTGATTCCCGGGACCAGGGGTAAAAAAGAAAAACAAAGAAATTCTAAAGAAATATAAAATAAAATAAATAACTAAACTCCAGGGGCTGGAAGCTGAGGGGAGCTGACTGGATAACACTGCTTAGGACATAAATAAGGTTCTTAGAATAATCACAGACCCCCAGGAGAAGCTTTGTTTTAGCTCCTCTTATGCCACCTTGTCCCAGCTCCCACTCACTTATCTACGATCTAATGGGGAAAAGTCCTATTCGGTAGAATGCCCTAGACAGGACTGAAAGCTGTAGAATGCCTTCAATGAAACTGCACTGAGATGCACGGGATTCGGATGGCTACTGTCACAGGATTTCAGACCCTGTGATACTACAGCGCTTCGTAATGTGTTATGTCCTTCCACCTCCGTGTAATGCTCATACTCAGAAGTCCCTATGGCTTCCCTGTTGGGTTACAGGGTGGGAAGTTCTCACTGATCTTCACATACATATAGTGGAAAACCACAGAGCACAGGTAGGCAGAAATCCAGGGAAAAGACGGAGACAGTGGAAAAAATGGAGCACTGGCACAGCTGGAGAAATGGAGAGATACAGGTTACACGACAGTGTCGTGCACAAAACCCAGAGAAACCACTGTGAAAGCAGGAAAACAGGAAGGGAGGGGAGGAGAAGAACCCTAACTTTTAACTCAGGTGGTCGATGCAAGAAATAGTTCTCAGTTCCAGACTGCTCTGAGTCAAAGCGGTAGGAGCAGAGGCACAAAGAGATGAGTTCCATGGCTGCAGAAGAGGAGCCACAGTGTCCCCTGTGGTACATGTACCGGGACAAGGAAGCTACAGCTGTCCAGGGCCAGGTGAGGTCCGGCCGACTGTCACGCTGGGAACGCCAAGGCCTGGCCTGCCTCAGGCCCGTGGTTGAAGGAACTCCCAGGGGACAAAACAAAGACAGGCCCTCCCTCTAAGTGTGCTGGACACTCAAGGGATCTGAATTCTTTCCGATCTTCTAACTGGACTCTAAACAAAGGCCTGCTGGGGTTGGTGAGCAGAGCAAGTTCCGAAGTGTGCTGAGAGCGGCCCACATGCCTTGCTCCGTAAAAGGCCCTCAGGGTTTCTGAAAGGAAGTTCAGGCTGGGAGGAAATCATTGGCTCCATTTGTCTTGGTCAGCTCAGGCTGCTGTTCCAAATGACATAGCCCGGAAGTCTTAAACACCAGAAATGTAGCGCTCAGAGCTCTGGAGCTGGAACTTTGCGTGCTGAGGTTTGGAGATAGTCATAGCCCCACATGACAGAGACGGGGGGGGGAGATTTTTTATAAGGGCACGGGGGGGCTCCACCCTCATGATCTAATCACCTCCAGAAATCCCCCACTTCCAAATATAATCATACTGGTGATTAGGGGCTCAACACATGAATTTATAGGCATCACAAACATTCTGGCGCCACTAACATTTTTCTCTCACACTTCTATAATCCCAGCACTCTTCCAGGCTGAGACATGAAAGCAGAAAATTCAGTCAGCCTGCGACATGACAAGACCTATCTCGAAAAACAAAACAACACAACAAAGTCAACCTACAGAAAAATATGACAAACCAGTTTCCACAATGCAGATTTAACAAGCACTAGTATTTTGCTATATTAGCTTTGCACCTGTATTCTAAACGTTACATCTACACCTGACCCTTATGTGGGCCAGTCCTTGATCCCTGAAAAGTAACCTGAAAAAAGTTTTCCTGAAAAGTAACCATAATTATGAAATTTGCGTTTATTCTTTCTTTCCTTTTTTTTTTTTTTCAGTACTTGGGATTTAACCCAGGGCTTTCATATTGAGCTATATCCCAAGCCTTCTCTCTCTCTCTCTCTCTCTCTCTCTCTCTCTCTGTCTCTCTCTTCTCTCTCTCTCTCTTTTAAAATTCTTAAAATTTTGGAACAGTATCACTAAGTCACTAAGTTGCCCAGGCCAGGCTGGAAGGTGCAATTCTCTTGCCTCAGCCTCCCAGAGTGCTAGGATCAGAGACATGAGTCACCATTCCTGGCTATAAAAGTTTCTCTAGGGCAGTGGTGGTAAACCTATGGCATGTGTGCCACCACA